TTTTTTTTTTTTTTTTTTTTACAAAAGCATATGACCACTTGAACATGTGTTTATAGAAACACATGACCATGTGAACATACCACCAGGGTTCCTCCCAGGCCTTGGACAGGGCTATTTAAGAGGGAGCTCTGAAGCTTCCACCTTAGTGGCTCCATGGTAAGTCCATTTGGGCAGGTGCCATATTGTAGGAATGTCCACCTATGAATTGCACACTTGAACTTGCTACTTATGCACATGAACACGGGATATGTAGGTGATGCCTGTACAGGGTCCGAATAGTAGTCTACAAGTCTCGATGTAAGAACACAAGATTGCATACTGGACATTAAACACACACAGACACAGCACAGATACATTTGCTATTTAGTTGAGCCTACACATTTCCAAAAGTCACACCCAGGCTTGATCTCTTCTCCTCCAGACCTTGAATTGTCTGCCTGCATTTCAGTGTTCACTTTCAGGCGGAGGTAATCAATTCAATACACCATCATTCACTCAGACAAGCCGACTCAAACATGGTTTTCTGAATTGGCCTCATGCTGAGCAATTCCCTGTTCTAGAAGCCAGGTGTGATGGGTGGGAGGAAGGAAGCAGGCAGGAGGAGGGAGCACACTGCCAGTAGGCAGAGCTTGGCATTTTTGTTTTTCAGGCAGTTCAGATACTGGTCTGGAGGTCTCCATTGAGGAGGGTCCTCTGGGTCTCCGTGGTCTCATTCAGCCGGGATTTGTCCTGCTTACTGTCACTCCGTTCCCCGTCATCCGTGCCACTCACCTTGACCAAGCAGAGGACATTCTGGAAGCTCTTCTTGAAGTTGTCGGATAAGAAGGCATATAGGATGGGGTTGGCACAGCTATTAGCATAGGTGAGGACCACCACAAAGTCAAACATGCCTTTGAGGGCTGGAGTGGGACTGATGGCCACAGAGACCGATGAGACATTGAAGATGTAAAAGGGCAGCCAGCAGAAAATGAAGACAGCCACCACTATGGACACCATTCGGGTGACCTTCTTCTCTGACTTTTTCCTCTTGGAGGAACCCACTCGGATTCCAGAGGATTTGACCTTGATGATAATGAACAGGTAGCAAAGACAGATGATGGTAAGGGGTACCAGGAACCCCAAGATGAAGGTGTAGATAATGAACCCTGTGTACCATGCCCCAGATTCACCTGGCCAGTTGATGGTACAGCTGCTTCTCCCCGACTGGTTGCTTCGAAGCCCAGCGTATATCATGATAGGCAAGATGACTAGCAGAGACACTCCCCACACAGCCATGTTGATCATTTTGGCTGTCCGGGGTCTCCTCCACTTGGCCGACTTGATGGGGTGGACCACTGCCAGGTAGCGATCGATGCTCATGACTGTCAAGCAGAAGATGCTGGTGAACTGATTGATGCCGTCCACAGTCATGACCACCCGGCAAATGGCCTTGCCAAAGGGCCAGTGGACCAGAGCCACCTGCATGGCCAAGAAGGGTAGGCCCAGCATGAAGAGCTCATCAGCAATGGCCAGGTTGAGGATGTAAATGTTAGTGATGGTCTTCATCTTGGCATAGCGGAGGATGACATAGATGACAAGTGTATTGCCACACAACCCAATGATGCAGACCACAAAATATATGAATGTGAGGACTGCATTGCTGGTCAGGTCATAGTATGGCTCTGTTTGGTTGGAGCCATTGGCTGCCACCATTGGGCCATTGAGATCAAAAGAAGAGGAGAGCCATGCTTGGCTCCCATTGAGTAGCTCGTATGCCATATCCATGGCTGCTTTACTGTCTTAGGCTAGCTTCAGCAACCCAAAGATCCTGTTCTCACCTTCATGGGCCCTGGAGGCAAAGGACCCACTGTGACATCTGAAAGGAAAAAAGGAAGATTGGCTCATCAGTCATGGACTACTCGTGCTCTCCCAGCTTTCCACACTTCGCGCTTACCCCCCAGACGTACCCCTAAATTGACAAGTATGTTCTCTTTCCTGTCAGTCTTAGGGCTACCAGCCCATTCTTATCAGTATGTGGACTTCTGAGTTGTTTTTCCACTAGTGGGGAAGGGCTTGGGTTAAGCCATCACTGTTTATCTTGTCATCTTTGGTGACGCACATTGGGGGATGCCTGTGGCTACAAAAGAAAAAAAAAGTACTTTGATCTTTAAGAAGTTGACTGGTCTGAACTGGAAAGAGGTGGAGTTTGGAGAGGTCCAGCCCCTGGTCGCTTGGAGGTCGGACACTAGCATTCTTGGCCTTTTCCCCGTGAGGAAATCTATGCTGACTGCTCTGGAGCCTTTCCATTCTGAAAACCCCAGAGTGGAAAAAACCCTGTACCTTGGAGGTGAGACAAAGTTGGATTCCACCACTGAGCCTTTGTGACCTTGTGCTGGGTGGGCACTGCACCACTCTGACCCTCACTGGTTACAAAGGATGTCACGGAGCTTAAGCGATGGAGTGTATATGGAAACACCCAAGGTGGTGCTGGCCTCATGGGTGGAACACGATGCATATTATTTTTTTCCTTTTCCTCTACATCTCGTTCTTTCTAGTGTATTGAAATCTGCCTCCATAGTGAACTAAATAGTCTTACCCACACAGAAAACCCACTGCCGTTGAGTCAATTCCGACTCAGAGTGACCTCCATGGCGTTTCCAAGACTGTACATCTTTACAGAAGCAGACTGCCTCATCTTTCTCTCATGGATCAGCTGGTGGGTTCAAACCACTGATCTTTTGGTTAGCAGCCAAATGCCTTAACCACAGTGCCACCAGAGCCCCTTAATTTATAGCCTTAGGAGTTAAAAAAGAATTCTGGATTGCTTTCATTTTTCAAAATTAAAGCTTAGGTTTATTTTTTGTTTCTTTTGTCTTTGTTTCTGGAATGCTGAGTGCTTGTCCTCCTTTGCCATGACGAGCCCTTTTCTAAATTCCCTGAGTGGGATGCTGCCCCAGAGGGCTCAAGGAAGGACAAATACCGGAGAAGCTGAGCTTGAGAGAAGCTGGCTCATTCATAGACGTGGGCAGGTTAAATGTAGTTCACCCACACGCACTGACCCCTGGCTCTGCTCAACTAGCCTGGGAAGGGGGGATAATCATTCCCCTTTTACACATGAGCCAACTGAGGCTTAGAGTTTAAGTAACTTGCTCCCAGTCACTCATACATACATAATTGGTAGAGCTGGGATTTGAACACCTGACCCTACATCCTCTACGTTTTCACAGCATCATGTCTGGAAAATGGACTGGAAAACTAGCGACTGATGACAGGGCTTTGGTTTGAAGCATCTGACGCCTATGCCACCCCAGTGCTGAGAAAATAACGCCGTTGCCTTGGCTTATGGTGTAAAACAAGAGCTCATTACATAATTACATGATTTATCTACAGTCACTCGAAAAGCCTCACTGTGGGACTTCTTTGTGCTGGGTTGCGGGCACACAGCAATGAACAAGAGCTGGCTAGTGTTAGCCGCCATGGAGTCAACCTGGACTCATGGTCACGCCATGTGCAACAGGATCGGACTGTTGTGCTCCAGAGTTTTTCAGTGGCTCATTTTCAGAAGTAAGTTGCCAGGCCTTTCCTCCTAGTCCACCTCAGTCTGGAAGCTCTGCTGAAGCCTGTCAGCACCCGAGACGCCCACAAGCCTCCACTGATGGATGGATGGTGGCTAGGCATGAGGTGGTGTGCTGGCCGAGAATGAAGCCAGGGCTCCCACGTGGAAGGCGAGAATTCTGCCACTGAACCACCACTGCTCCTCCCAGTGTCCTCTAGGGGGTGACGATTTCATAGGGGAGACAGGCGATCACATAATACTAGGTGTGAAGCATCTGGAGATAGGAACAAAGGATTTAAGAATGCCTTATTTTTATAGAGATCCAGAGGACGATAAAAGGGGAATTTTTGATACATGAAGGGAAAGCAAGGAGGCCATTCTAGGAAGAGACAGTGGTAAAGAGTGTGGCATGTCCAGTGCATCGTGGGAACAATTCCCCCGGCTACTGGAGGTTTCTCTGATGCCTGCGTGTAAGCAGAGATTACTCCCTTTTGCTTGGAGATCCTGCCCAGGAGTTAAAGGAGACCTAGTGGCAACAAGTGCTTGAGGACCGTTGCCTGTGTGTTTTTCTGCTTGTCCAGGGCGTTGCTTAGCCCTTCTGTGCTGATTTCCCCACTACACACCGGTAACGTGCGGTCTGGGCTTTGCATCGGACCTTTCTGCACATACTCTGGGGAGCTGGGGTTTCAGGTCTGCTTTGGATAGTAAAGCACACACGGGCAGCTCTTCATACAGAAGCTGTAAAGAAGCAGTTTTCGTAGCCCTGGATTAATTTAGGTCATTTCCACTATTCTTTCTAATCCCCTTGCCAGTGACTTGAAGTCTGCAGAGCCAGGGTGCATTTGAAGCTGCCTGCATGGGAAGGTACGCTGATTGCTGGCATGGCCGGGGTCCAGTCTGTGCAACATGAATGGTCACATCCTAGAGACTGGGTAAGACCATTAGGCTGTAGAGTTCTCTGGGCTTTTGGGATAGGAAGGATTATGGGGCAGAGGGTAGGAGGGAGGCTGGAATCGTGGAATGTTGCCTGATCAGCCCGTATCACTCAGGCAATGGCACAGTGTGTGTGTGCATATTTTTCTGAAACAGACCGACAAGCAGCACATATCCCCTCTTGAGAGAGGCAGCAACAGACAGGGTCCCGGTGAAGGTGGAGGTGCAGGCAGTGGTAGGGTGGGGAGCCAGACAGTGGGAAGGCTCCTTCAAGGAATGAATGAAGTCCTGGTGAGGCTGACTTCTTTAACCTTAAGGTTTTCTGGTGACTCGGGCTTCTCTTGTGCCCACAGGGGGTGGGGGCCAGCCCTGGGAGCCTAGACTTGCTGAATTGTGATTCAGTGAAATATGCAAGGAACTTTGCCTCTCTGCTTCCTTTGTTTTTGTGCCTGAGAATTGTTAGAGGCTGGAAATGGCTGGTGGCTGGTTTCCTTTGAGACTGAGGCCAGCTCTGTTGCAAGAAGGATGAAGATGGTCTCATGCACCCTCTTCCCCTTCCCAGGGGGGCTGTGGTTACCAGCCTATAAGATAGGGGTGTGGGGAGGGGGACCCGGCCTCAGTGGTGGTCTGTCGTCCTGTTCAGCCTCAGCTTATCCCTTGTCTCCAGCGTCTTTCCACCACATGACCCACACCCCTGCCTGCCCTGGGGCCTGGGCTGTGAGTCCTCCCCAAGGGCTGGGAGACAACAGCCCCTCGCTGTCCATGGCAGCACAGTGCTGGAGCTCTCAGTAACAGCAGAGGCGGTGCTGGCTGAAGCCGGGGTATCTACGGACAGTCCAGTCGGTACCCTGGGCTGCTAGGGAAAATGCTCCCCTCGCTGGCCACCTCTCTGTCCCCTCAGACCTGGCCACTTCCAGAACGAGGGGAGAGAAGACCTTGGGGCCAGCATGCCCAGTCTCTAAGGCCAGAGCCGGCCGAGGCTCCAGGGGTGGCTAGGAGTGAGCAAAAGCCGCCTGGGGACTTGAACCACCGCTCCAGGACACGGGTGCCCCGCCACTCAGAGGTTCCAAACCCAGGCAATGTGTTGTCTTCGCCTGGAAACTGGGAGGCGAACCGGACCCTACACTGTTCGCGGCCCCCTTCCCAGCCGCGAGGAAGACAGAGGAGACGCCCCTCTCCTCTGTCTGGTGCCAGCCAGCGGCCCCTCACAGGCTTGGGTCTCCAGGTGCTAGTCCGCAGGAGCCCGGGGGTGGCTCCTGCCATGTTCCCCCGCGCCCTCGCTGGCTGTCTGCATATCAGGGCTCTTTGCAAGTAGAGGGGAGAGTTGTCCCCATTGCAGCTACCATCTGGATTCCAGGCTGGGGGACGAGGACGGGACCAGGGCACAGACAAGCACAGGGACATGCGGCGGTGCAGACACGTCCGTTCCAGTGCATGGAACCCACAGCCCCCTACTAACGCCAGAACACCTGCTGTCGTTCACGCCCATCAAAACCTCCCCGAAAAAGCACAAGGGCGGAGAGCCACGCACATTCGCACTCGACCCACACGCACGTATGACACACTCTGGCACACCAATGGACGCGCCACCGTGCAGCGCAGATGTACACAGGTGCCCAAGTGCGTGTCCCGCTCCCTCCACTCGCTCGCTCGCTCGCGCACACACACACGCAGGCACACTGGCACGCGCGCACACACGCCTCACCTTTGCTTTTCCGTTGCAATCTTCTAGCCCGGCTCGCCAGCACTCAGTGGCTGCTCCCTACCCAGCCTGGCGCTGGGGCGCGCAGCAGCTTGGCCCGCGCCGGTGCTCGGCGTCCCAGGCTAACAGCTCCGCGGCCCCCGGGTGCCAGCAGCTGCCCACCTGCCCCGCAGACCCCGGCACCGAGCCGCGGACTGGGGATCCCGGCGCGGGTGGCCGTGCGAGCGCTTGCGCGCGGGTGGCTGCGCCGCTTCGACTGGCCCAGCCGGGCCTGGGGCCCCCGGCACAGTTCCCCACGCCCCCTCGTGACGTCACGGAAGCTTCGCCCCGCCCTCTCGGTCCTGAAGGAGGACAAGGGTGAGCCCCCGTGGAGAATCTAGCAGGGACTGCGGGCGAAGCTGGCAGGCACCGGGGTGGCAGGAAGAAGCCGCGTGCGAGGGCGTGAGGGCTTAAGCGATTCGGGCCTCGCCAAGATTCGCGGCGAGGACACGCGCTGCTTTTCCCCGATTTCACAGAATGGCTTCAGTCTCACCCAGCAGATTCCGGGCAGCTGGAGTGGACGCAGGTGTGACCAAGAGTCGCTTCGGACCTCTATGATCTTTTTCGCCAGACTAGTTTGCAAAGCTGCGAATAGCGTGGTGGGGTGGCTGGAGGCGCGGCGCGGGAAAGGACGCAGGCA